CAGACTGCAGCCACATGCCCCACTGTGAATCAGCCTAGAGCTGCAACAGGGTCATCGCCAGCATTAGATTAGATTAGATTAGATTAGATTTCCTTTATTGTCCCTCAGTGGGGAAATTCACATGTTACAGCAGTAGCACAAGATTTAACTACAAAGAGAGGACAAACAAACAAACAAACAAGCAAACAGAAACACACAATATCAGGTAAAAAACACTGGCAGGTCGGTATCTTGGCTCGTAATGAAGCCGAAACCACTAACACTGACTGATAAGGTTTGAGTCTGAGCTGCAGTTCCTCTGATTTCCACCAGATGCTACACAATCAAACCTCTCTTTGACCTGCTCACCAATGTCAGCTTCATCTCCTCTACAATTTCTCAGTGCAGACAAAGATGACAGCAGGTCAAACCCAAAATAAAGCTGAGCTAACAAAAAAGCACAAGTGAAAAATGGGTTTTCTGTGCCTGACAACTAATAATTATGTCCGAAACACATTTTTAATAAACAATTAACAAAATCATCAGAAGGCCATGTACAGAACAAAGATGGATCAGAGAGGTAAGATTTATTTCAGAGTGACAACCCAGTGTTTGCAATTAAAAAGCAGAATATGAATTGACAGAAAGTGATGTGCACGTTCCTCAGTGGAATGTAGCCATGGTTATCTATTTTCAACCATGCAGGTATGGAAACGCAATGCAAGGCAGGTTTATGTTACAATGAAGAGTTATGTTGTTTAGTGTATATTAGATGATTAATCATGTCTATTCGTGCAAAAAGGTCAAAAACAGTTGCTGCTTTATTTTTTCAACAGATGGTGCTGGACTTGTGACCATAAGGTTGACTGTTCCAATCCAACATAGCAGCAGGATGAATCAGGGGGAGAAAAGCAAAGCTCATGTTAAATGTGTCATGAGGTAAATTTCATCAGCTGCCCAGACTGTGCAAATGTGCATGTACAGAGTACATAGACTGCATCTGTACATGAGGACATACGTATGCAGCCATCCTTGGAGGTGTAAACACACAAATTATTTTTTAGAGCTTGCAATGATTCTTACAAGGTGCAGTGTGTAAGATATAGGTGAAAGGGGTCTATTGGTAGAAATTGATTATAAAATAATGTGAGTTTCATCTAAATTGGATGAATACTTTATATTGACATGGGGAGCGGGTCTGCTCTATGGAGGACGCCACGTTTTTCACAGCCGTCCAGACTGGACGAACAAAACATTGTTTTTATTACAACTGAAGGAGGAAGGGGAGGGTGAGGTGAGGGGTGTTCAGCTACAACCTCACCACTAGATGTCACTAAATCTTACACACTGAACCTTTAAAAGAGAAGCACTTGCTCCTCCCTCATTACCACCACAGAGGTGCTCCAAGCTGTGGATCCTCCACACTGCTCCTTGGCCATCAGACTGGACAGCTTCCAAGTGGGATCCTTCAACAATAAACAACAGCATCAGATGATGCTCAAGACTTGACAACAAATCGAAAAGTGTTAATTATTGAACTTTATAGATGTTGCTGAGTGTACCAAAGTAGGAGAGAGCTGTTTTTTCCCACCTGTGTGGTCATCATGCTAACCTCTGCTAATGACTCCAGTGCTGATCAGGCAGATCTGTCTCAAACTCGCTCTGAAAAAGGGTATAAACATATTTGAAAAAATATTTGAACTATTTCTTCCCTTGACTTTGTAGTGAATAAGGTCAGGGGTTTATCAAACCCCCCACCCCACAATAAATCTACAGGTAAAAAACATACAGCTTTGTGCTCCTTTCTGCAGCAGATTAGTGACGCTTCTCTCAAACTCTCTCAAGCTGGTGAGGAATCAGCTGACTTCAACACTTCCTCTAATCCCCTGTTGACTCTGTTTTGACAGTTTTTCTTTTTAAGAGGCGTGAAACTCGAACCTCCAGTCGCAACAGAAGCTCGCTGCTCCATCCTCTAATCAACAGAAAAGGCATTTGACATAGGGCCGTCCTTCCCTTTCCCATGGGACAAACACAGGAGCTATTGTTGTGTTGTGTGGTCACGTGACCCGTCCTGCCACGGCACGCTGTGACTCACTTGACATGTCACCACCGAACTACATCTGCACTCAGCAGACTGATCGAGTGCTGGCTGTGATGTCAGCCTCATTACAGTCATTATCTCAAATTAACAATTGAGACTGTCGACCAAATGAAATGTCCTCTGAAGGGCTTTGTTGATTTACTGATTGTTTTTTTATGTTTTTATACTTTTATGTCTTGTTCCTACTGAAGAAAATACAGAACAGTTTTTCTCTCATGTGTTTCTATAAATCACTAGAAATGTCATTGCTACACTAAACTTTATGGAGTGATTTCTTCTATTTATCTCTTTCATTTAGGCTGTAAACACAAACACATAAAAACAAGTTACACTTAATAAATCATGTATAAATGCATGTGAAAAAGACATATGCAGTAGATTATGTCAATTAACGAGTCAAAGAATGTTTCTTTGGTCTCAGAGTGAGTTTTATTGAAGCTTTCTGCAGAAAGGATCACACAGGCAAGGTGGATGCTGCGAGTGGGATGAAAAAGTGAGGTGTCTGTGCTCATATATAGTTGCCTCTGTGTGGGTTACGCCCTGACTGTTAAAATGCAGGGTGTGTGTGAATGTATTGTTCTGTGATTGCCTCATTTGGAGAGGAAATAATGCTATCTGTGGTAAAGATGTTTGTCAGTCAGCTGAGTAGATGAACAGAATTCAACCAGTGTACTGCAAAAAGGTCACTATTGATTCAGTTGACCTCAGCATCATCTTCTGCAACACATGTTAATAATGATAATAATAATGATGGCTTGAATTTATGTAGCGCCTTTTACGGGACCCAAGTACGCTTTACATAAGTTTGTGAGGACAAGAAATAATAATGCAAAACATGTTTAGACAGTGGAAGCACATGCTGGATGGAAATGTAAATACATTTCCATTACAATTACAAGAAGACTAAGAAAGTCTACAGCCCCAAAACCCTCCCCTCAACAGCAACTGTCAAATCATAGTTTAGCACAAGTTCTCACTGTAGTCAGAGTGACCTGCACATGGGCCTGTAGTGAGACTGATAATCAGTATTTATCGAGTTTGAAAGGTGGTGATGTTTTTTCGTCTAGCCTTTCCAGCATCAGAAAACACAAGAGCTACAAATGGAGGACTCGAGCTGCTCTTTCTTCAAAATTAGTGAGCTGTGTCCAAATTAAGGTGCCTCCTTCCTTGGTGGCTGCATTTGAAAAACTGCAACAAAGCAGTGCCACTAGGCTGTCCCATTTGAAAGGCCCTGTACTCACCTGTATTAGCATCCGTCCTGAGAGATCCGGCCCCATGTGGTGAGTGCTAAGTACATCTGTTCACACTTAGTATTAAAATGCGTCCTGAATGTTTCTCCTGTACTCGTGATCAAAACTTACTTCCCCGCGCTACATGCAAATTAAAATGTATATAATTTGTGTTGCGACCAAATTTTTTAAAGTTGAAGTTTAAAGATGTGTCCGATATCTTGTGTGAGTGTCGGCATGAGAGAGAAAGTAGTCAGGAGACGCTGAATGAATCTTCTGCAGCTGCGGTAGAGGAACATTTCACCAATTTAAGGAAACAATCAGTCATGATGTCATGGTCAGTGTTGATATTTTGGCCAGTAAATGTATCAACAAGCAATGAAGGCTCCAACGGTTGGATCCTTCTCAGGCTACTCCAGGATTCATTGAGCTTCAGTGGTTTTTCAAAGATATAATGGGGGGAGCAAATGACAAGACGTCCAATGCTTAATTATCAGACTTCAACTCAACCGAACAGCTAATGTTAAACATGTTTCAAACTGCAGCACTATTGTTAGGTGACAGCGGTAAGGGCAGGACAAGCTGGTGATGCAGATCACAAAGTTCCTCTGCAATGTCTTACTTCGGCCTTTGTGGTCAACACAGTCCAAAATGGCAACAACCTTCGTGGGTCACGTAAATGTGTAGACCACCTCCGAATTGGGACACAGCTTTGTCAGTGGCTGACAGTAGGAAATGATAGATTTCCCTCAATGTCTACAATTTCATGTAAAGAATTCAACAGCAACAGACAATGACACATTCAAAATACCATCTTCTTTTGCAGTAGACCTAAAGCAGAAGGTTCATGTACAGTTGTAAATCCAGTGTTCCATTGATAATGCAGTAGCTAATTTGAAACTAGTTAACATTTACATCTGAAGATATTCACCCCCTGTAGGTTCTGAAATATTTGGAGCTTGCTGTTATAGATGGTAACTGTGGTTTGTTTGGATTCACCACAGGTGTAATGGATCAACATATGACTCAGTTTCACAGCTAAATGAAACTAATTGAAACATCTATAGAAACTTGTGAAATCAAAAACATCTGAATGATAATTCACTTGATAATTCACTCAACAATGGCAGTATAGTGCCCAGGCTGTTTGTCACACACTCAGCAAACAGAGACCTGGGATGTTTCTGCTCAGCCTGAAGGACAGAGTGAAGAGCTTGGAAGGAGCCGGCAGTAGAGGAACTGGTTCTAAAGAAGTCATTTGATGTGGGTTGGGGCCCTGATCAAACTGAAGGACATGGATGAAGAGAGAGATCTCGGGGCTACCTTGTTATGAGCCTGCGTTCACCACATCCTGTGTCTGGATAAAGAATTTAGAGGTTATTGTGGTGGCAGTGGTTTCGGTAATTTTTATGGATGTTTTTTTTGTAAAATCTTTAACGTTATCCTTTGCAAATGGGCAAGTTACAAACTTTTCAGGGCAAAGTGTTAAGTCTGCTGGGTTTTTAGATGTATAAAATACGCTTTTTGGTGTTATTTTCCTTCAGACAATAATTTTCACCACTGGTACACATCAGATGAAGTTAAATCATTAGTGAGAGAGAGAGTTTTCTTGAAACCACATCTATTGGACATTTGAGAAACTGCAGCTGATCTCACTGGGAGCTAACACACAACGGCTTAAGTCTGCTTAGCTACAGAATGAGACACTTAATAATCAGACAGAGACCCAGGAAAATAATGATGCACAGACAAGAGAAATGGAGGGATAGGAGGAGCAAGATATCCCCCAGCGGGCTGTTCCCGTGCGGGTGAGGCAGAGGGATGGCAGGCTGAGGCGGGGGAGGAGGAGGCGGGGCCTGGGGCATCTCGCAGTGAACCCCGGTCCAGCCCTGGTAGCACTGGCAGGTGAACTTGTTCTTCATGTCCAGGATGTCATAGTTGTTGAGGTGACCGCTGACGTGGAAATGGGGGCCCTTAGGCGCCAGGTTGCGGTGGATGTGGAAGAAGCGTGGGTTCAGGTGCAAGTAAGCATTTGAGTCGAGGCTCTTGCGGACGCACCTGCCATTCTTCTTGCACAATGCTTTGCTGCACAGCTTAGCAGCAGATGTGACATTAATAACATAATGTCCCAGTGGGCCGTCGATATACTTCTTCACTGTCAGACAGTTCCTCTGCAGGAGGCAGGAGGAAAAACACAATCATAAGTCTGTAAAGATATATATTATAAATACCTATGTTTTTTTTATTTCACCTATATCTACAAACTAGAATGGCATTCAGAGAGCGCTCTGCCAAGGCCCAACAGTCAACTAATGAAACCACATCAAATGAACTAGATCTGAATTTTCATTTGGATCTGCATTACATACATTCATCAATATCAATCCCCTAAACAGATTTCTTTCATAAAGATCCATGATTCACTGAATACCCTATCTCTCAATGTTATGTAAAGTGAAAACAAAATTCTTGGATCAAACCCATGATCTGGATCCACACCAAAATGTTATGGGTTTTACCTAAATAAAAAAAGAAATACATGTAGATGAAAACATCTTTATTTTGCATGTCTGTTGGGATACTTTCCATACCATCATCAGCTGTATAACTGGTTCCCTCCTTTTATTTTTCCCCCTTGCTTTTGGTTCAAACACAATTCAGAGCTGATGGGCTGACAGATAGCTGACATATTCTTTGATAATGGTTAATTTGAAACGCTGGAAAAGCCCTATATAAATACAAACCATTTACCATTTAATTTTCCTTACATTTTGCTGTTGTGTCTTTATTATTGTAAAGACAAATCTCTCTTGCTACAGCAAAATCGAAGTAATGAGCATCAATTACATTTGTGTTCAATTAAGAGTTAAGAATTGTTGCTGAAATTCATGGATCTGATGACAAGTGAGCACAAGCTTATATTCACAATTTCAGTTGTGTCCTGTTATGTTTGAAAATGTCTTACTGTTGATTTAAGTTTTTCTTTAGGATTTAAAGCAGAGTTTGCTGTAAATATCTTTATTCTGTATTTCACCAACAGAAATACTAACCAATTAATAACATATATCTCTTGTCTTCTGTATTCAGTCAGAAAAAAAAGCTTTTTCAAACATAGGGTTATGGAGGAGAAATGAATGATATTTTTAATAATCACTGTAAGACATCATGAAGTCTTATTTTATGCACTGTGACTGAAATAGACCACATCATTACCTTCTGTGGTTCCCTAATACTTGAATACTTGTGGAGTGTTCTATGTAATGTTTGCTGTAATGTAGTGGTAATGTTACAGTATGATGAATGCTCAGTTTTTTGGGGAGTGGTAATTGAGTTTAATATTGGCATATATTTAAACACCTTTATAGTCCATGTTGGTGGATAAAAACTAAGTTTGCATCAATAAAGTCAATGCTTACTCATCATTTTGAAATATTAGTTCCCATCACCTGTGATCGAGAGTATTCAGATGATCCCCAGAGGACGACACCCGATGCTCCCAGAGCAGCGCTCTCCCCAATGGTATGAAGCAGGTCACTCTAAACAGACAGACAGGCATTTTTAGACACTGTGGAGAAATTAAAATTCAACCACTCTCCTTGATTCATTCTACAATCACTTTTGTAGGCTACAAACACACTATTTTCTTATTTGGAAAAACTATAGCAGCCATCAAGACTGATGGATCAGGTTTGAGGTTATTTTTTATCTGCATTTTATTTTGTTCAGTGGTTTTCTTCTTATTCAAGTGAGCCGATGCTTTCAGCATCTGTCTAAAAACTAAAAAACTTACTTCAGATAGAACCACAAAGGTGTAGGCATAGAAAGGTCTGGAGTAGACAAACACGGGCAATGTGAAGTCTGTACGGGCAATGGACGCAATCCTCATGGCTTCCTTTACTCGATAGTGGACAAACTTGACAGTGTTGGGGGAGGACTTGAGCTCATAGTCAAGATAGATGGATGGGTAGAGGGCTGAGCTCTCCTTCCACAGCCACATCAGATGGTCATTGCGAACGTGCTCGACGTTGGGACATTCGCCAGTGTACTGTTGTGGATGCTGCTTGTACCCATAGTTGTAGCAGTCTGGGAACAGGTAAAACCCCCACAGCCCATTTGGCCGGCGGCCCTCAGCCAGAGCTATGGTCAGGTTCATGAAGTCCTGCCCAGCTCTCTCGAAACTTTCCTTTGCTTCCTTCTCTACCTTGCTCTCTGGCCAGTTTGGGTGAAGCTTCCGGATCTGTTCCTTGGACTTATTGCGGTATATGTCCTTGGAGCCCCAGTTTCTGACCCACTGTGGCCTCCAGTTCTCCCAGTCAATGACACCCAAGCCTCGAAAATCCTTGTGCGGGATAAGCTTGTCAATGTCAGTCCGTGCCTTACTCAGGTGTTTGGAGATGCTCTGGTTCTGCGGCAAGCCACCATTAATGGGGACCCCAGAGTTGGAGTAGTATGGGTAGTATCCCAGGTGGCTGTGGTAGAATATGGTGACATTTGGTCCACTGAGGGTTTCGTTGAGGTTTGCTACGATATCAAAAACACTGAGGTCCAGGTCTACTTTGAATCGAAGGCGGCAGGACTCTGTAGGTGCATTCCACACGACAACAAAAGGACGGTGAGGGATCAGAGGTACACGGGCTGGCTTCATCTGGTCACCCCCAACTTGGAGCTTTACTCCAATGCCAACCCATAAGGTCATCGCAAGGAGATGGGAACCCCATCTGTGCCATAGCCCCCGATTCTTCATGGAGCAATTAGTGGTCCTACACAGGCAGAGGGGAGAAATTACACATTTAGAGAGGAAATGAAGACATTATGAGCTTCAGTGAACATGGACAATAAAGCAGGCCTGTGGCAGGACACATGAGATGAAGTCACTGAAGTGAATGCTCCAAATTACACAATAGAGCAAAACACAAAGCTCCTCTGTTCTCTGATGGACTGGAATGGAAAAGATGCTGGTTCAAATCCCAGATCAGCACAGACATTGTGGACAGGAAGAGCAATCAGGATAAGTTCCCTCTTTTTCTTTACTTTTCACCCTTTAACATTCATTATGGCCAAAGCTTTTACCACAGTCAGACTGTGGGAGCCTCTGCAGGACTTTCAGCTGGGGCCAGTGAGTCTGGTCAGCTGGAATCTGATTGGTCCCTACAGTGCCCTGTTCTGTCAGTAGTTTTTTTTTTTTTTTTATATAATAATAATAATAAAAATAACTGTATTTGAATAGCACTTATCTAAACAATGTTACAAAGTGCTTCACAAGAAAAATAACAAAATCCATGACTAGAAGAAGAATAAATTATAATTTTTGAATATAACCATCACATTTGAGCTCAAGAGTGGTTGTTGTAATAAAAATAATAAGTTAAATTGTACATTGGTGTCATCAAGTGTTTCAGCCTATTAATCGGAGTAACATTGAGAGAGGCTAAAGGTAAATCTGACTGGCTACTGGCTTGTATGGCAGTGCTGTGAAAGCCATGTGGCTTGCTCAGTAGATCAGACGTCATTACCTCTGTGCCTTTTTATTCTATATATTTATAAATAGAATAAAAAATATAAACTAGTCACTGGCTAACAATACTGATAATTAATAAGAAAATTTGTAAAGAATTATTTTTATTTTCTAACTATTTTTTAAGTAAACATTGTGCTTTAACAAGGAACAATTTTCTAAATATATCCAGTGATGGCTTTGCTCAAAACTATATAGCTAACAGTATCAAGGAATGACTTAAATGTAGTAAGTCAGCAATTTTGCATGCAATGGAAGTTGGACATGTAATTGGCCCATCTGTGTAAAGTGGGGCCGTTTTACAGCCCTTGATTTAGAAAAAGCTTAGATCTGCCACTGGTCTGGTGGCAGTGCAGAAATTCAGAAAGTGAACATCAGTTTACACAACTAGCAAGATACTCAGCAACATTCATTTAGCCATGAAAACAATGATGGGTGGAGCAACATAATGCATTCAAATGAATTGCACACTCTGTCTGATTATCAAGATATTGATGGTTGTCAGCACTTCTTTATGATGTAACCTCAAAATGAATTGTTTGAGTTATAGTGGTGTTAAAAACTCAAGTTGTGGTTTTGACCACAGGATCCATACATTTTTAATAGCTTCACATTATGGCAGAACAATGCCTCAACAAAATGTGTCTTTTTATTGGGGAACCACGTCTATAAAGCTCAAAGCTTATTCTGTGTATACTGTCTCCTCAGTTGCACATACAGTCATTGTCAAACACATGTTTAGCTGTCTTTTGTTTCATTCATCTGAAACTGTTCCCTCAGTTCTTTATGTAAGAGCCCCCTAACACACATACACACACTGTCCCCATCTAATTGCTGTTGGCGCCCCCTCATATGCAAGTAATCCATATTTAAGGTTTTCCAAAGTCGGGGGGAAAAAGACATTGTGACCCAGCTCTTGGGAAACACGACCACTGAGGTTGCCGCTGAGGACGCAACGGAAAATCTCTCATCATTCTAAATAGAATTGTAACCAGAGCAGGGTTGCAGGAAACCACCAGTGGGCTGAAGCCCCTCCAATCATTTCAACTCTTCATTCATCTGAGGAGGTGCGGGCCCAGAGCTGAAATTTTCTGATGACTTTAATGGCACAAGAACTTTACGATCGCAGTAATCCTGGATGTGGATCAGTGAGTGGAGAGTTGAAGGAGATGACAGTGAAAAGTTGAAGAGTTGAAAGTTTATATAGTCACAAATAAATTGTCAACATTTTCCCAGAAAGCATTGTAGGAGGGTTGGAATTCATCTTTTCTTGAAGCTGTGGGTCTCGCACCAGTTTCATAATCCGCCCTGAGTGATGGTTTTTCTGGTTATGCTGATCCAAAACAAACAAAGTGCGGTTAAGCCAGTCAGACTGTCCTCCAAACCATTGAGAGGCCCAGAGCCGCTGGACCCCCCAAAACACAAAGTCTGAGTCCAGACTGACACAGGAGACACCGTTTGATGTTTTGTCTCACACAGAGACAACAAACCGGTGAAAAGCAACTCAACTAATTTGATCCAGATGTGGACAGAGGGGGGTGAGCTGTCAGCCTGAGCTAACCCTCCTGATGGTTTGCCACCATAGTGGGTTAGCTCTAAGGAATGCCATGAAATTTGGTTTCAGACATAGAGACCATGAGGAGGAAGCTGTTGGATATTAACTGTCTTGCACCAATCCATTTAATTTCCCATTGCATAAGACAGAGGTCAGTGATAGAAATACATTATTCATGTGAACTACTAAGCAAACTAGCCAACCAGTCAAAGCAGCCTTCTGACTGGGCTGTTTACTTCCTTGTATCATATTATTGTTCTCAAAAAAATGTCATCTGCACAGGGCTGCTGAAGAAGAAACAAAAGCTCACCAAGCTAGTAAACTTGCCAAGTCTCGATCTGCCACGTCAGTATGAGTCTTAAAGGTAGGGTAAGTTGGTCATTTGTTTCTGAAACACTTTGAATCTCATTTGTTGAAATACCTTCCATCCTTCTGACCAAATGAAATGATTTGCTGACTTACCTTACTGTCACTAACTGATCTGCCTGCCAGCACCCTCCCCGTGCTCTCACTGCACGTCTGGAGTCTTCATCAGAATCTAGTTTTATTGCCAAACAGGTTTACACATGCAATGGATTTGCTACGATGTATTTGTGCAAGTATAAATATGAAAAATATAAAAATAAAAACAAATATTCAACATAGAAAATACTATAAGCACCAGGAGAGGGATTGTGGAATATGTTAAGAACTAGATCGTGCAAAGTACAGTTAGTCTGGATGGACAATCAAGGAGAAGTCGTCTTCTAGCAGTGGTCAGGCACTGCATGTTTATATGTGCTGTATCTTTTTGATGAGAGGGCCAATAGGAGGGATTGAGATGCATCGATTGTATAGAGTAGCCTGCTCTTGCCAGTTTCTCCAGGCTTACAAACCTTAGCTTTAAATATGCACTTTTTTGGCCACATACCTAGAACAGTTTGATAAGAACTGAGGATAGTCCAACAAGTCCCAGATGAAAGGTCATCACCAGCTGCTTTAATTGCATTGTAGAGCTATTTATTCCGAGTGTCGTAATTATGATGAGAAAAGATAATATTTATTTCACACTACATTGTTTGACTGTTTCTCAACTGGAGAAAAGACAAGGCTTTTAGGATCAGGACACGCTGATGTGTTTGCCAAATGTAATGGTGGGATGGCTGGATCATAAACTGTGATCAAACTGATGCCTGTGTTTGCTGAATTTGTATCTGAGGTGGTTTGGCCGTGGTGTGTGCAGATGTGGAGATGATTCTGGGGTCTCCGGCTGAGTCTGGATGATACTTTTGATTCATGAGCAGCTTGTACAGTGTAGCCTGGAAAATATGAAGCCGGCCTTGAATTAACAGTTAATGATCCAAGCGTTAATGTCCAGCAGCCAGAGACACCACACATGATGGTGTGTGTGTGTGTAATGGGGGGGGCCTTTAAAACCACAGAAACTCTGAGTCAGACTGCTGATTTTACTCCCAACATGTGTGGAGTTGCTTAATAAGTGAGCTGATTTAACACAGTATTCTCCAGACTAGATGTCTTCATGGGTCTGATCCATAACGGACCCTTCAAAAAGAAACCCGATCATCTGTTAGAGAGCTGAGGACAGCCAGAGCTCGTCCCATTTGACTGGATGATAGTGAGGCCTGATGCAAACTGTGATGGATGGGAACAGACCAAAACAGTAGCAGGAATCCCGATCAAAGACAAGACCAGCATAGCCAGACAGTTTTCCGACACTTTAGCGCTCACACTCTAAGCCTCATAAAACAAATTTCTCTCCTGTTATTATATGGAAACCATTTTTTCTTTTCCTTTATTTAAGTGTTTTCACATTCAGACATTGTCAAACTCTCACTCAAAACCCTGCACTTGCTCGCAAATAGCCCCTATTTGTGCTTATACTTGCTCTGTTTGTGCTCAAACTGTGCGCTTGCACACAGATATTTTGTTGCTTGGACAAACTTAATACATTCACTGGGCATGTGTTTGACTATTTATTTCAAGTATAACTACTACGGATGCAAAAACTCAGAATTCAGACACAAATACAATATAATTGAAGGGGTGTAATTGCACAGGATCACTTATGTCAGAGGCCTCTGAAAATGCCGCATCAATGAATAAAGTAGAGTCTACACACTGACTCCAAACCGCAAATGATCCATGTCAGGTCTTCATCAGCTCAAAATGCTTAAAAAATGGCCACCACACCCATTTACAGCATAAACGCAGCGATAGGCTGAAGGGCCGCTGATGACAGGTGTGGTTAACCATCCAACTTGCCCGCAGTGATAAACAGCTCCAAGTTAAAAACAGTGCAAAGAGATACAACACATCTTAGAGATTAGAGATGTCAAACTATCCACAATACTGTGAAGATAATGTAGAGGAGGGGGAAGTTACAGTTTACAAGAAGCAACTTGAACTTGAAACAGAATAACACGATAAATCACTCAACAAAAACTGCACACATGCATGAGATACGTGACTATAACTTACAAAAACATGTTTGTGTTTAAAATGGCTGCTCACATGTATAGACATAAATATAGTTGTCTTTAGTTTTGACTTCCATGCTTCAGCGGGGGAACTATCCTTTAGAGAGTGATGACCCCATGACCTTTTCCTCTCGCACCACCCCAGATCAAACTCTACTCATAGGACTAAGTATAGCCAAATCATCAGGACAGCGCGATGCAAAGTATATGGTGAAATAAAAAAATCTGATTATTAAAAGGATCTATCAGGACTGATGATATGTGTCGTGGCTGCCAGTACCTTAGCTGCTATAGTTTATCTGAGGATGTGGAAGAGGACATGTTCAACTGTGGCCACAGACTGAAGGCACACTGCCCCGCCCCCACTGACAACAATGCACTGGTTGCCACTGAACTCGGCACTGCCCTCTCTACGGCTATTTAGACTTGACATGCCAAGTGTGACGCTGAGTAGAAGAGCGGTTCTTGAGATATGCATTCCACATACAGACAGACATTTGTGGAA